GTAATTTTATATTACACTTATGAGATATCCTTTAGGGTGTATTTGGAGCACCTGATAAAGAAGATAAGATAAGATAACTTATCCTATCCTACATTTATCTCTTGTTTGGTGGGTCAATAGGATATGATTAGCTTATCCTATTGTCTCATTTTATCCTATTCAATACATGATTTCTTATCTTATTTGGGAGCTGGATTAGGATTCGATATGATAAGATACCAATATTGGATATCCAATATATTCTCACGCTACCCAATATATTTGTATTTATTGCATTATATTTTGTTTTTTCTTTCTCCTTTCTCTTTTTACATAATCTTATCATATTGCTAATAAGTGCTCATCAAATACAGGACATGATATAGGCTTATCAGCCTCATATCATATCCTACCTTTATCATATCCAGTCCACCAAATGAGCCCTTATAATCTTACTCTTTTGAACCTTTTTGGTGCACCTAATAAGAGGGACAGAATAGGATAGACTATCTTATTATGTCCTCAACCATTGTTTGGTGAACCAATAGGATATGATAGAATTATTATTGACTTCTCTTATCATCCTCGTCGTGAAGCCACAGTTCGATCTCCAGCAAGTTGGGGTTCAATATGTGGGTATCATACCCTCCAACGACCCAAATGTCACCGGCACCGCTGCATCCCTCTGCCTCTCCATTAAGCTACTATTCACGGTTGTTAACCCTAACAAGATGATGATCAAGTACGACGAGTCCAGGTAGTATGGCGAGCTTCGAGTCTTGGGCGATGTTGGTGCTAAGATCCAGGTTATGAACTTCGATTCTCCTGGTGTTCAGGTAGTACTCTCAATATTTTTTATTTTTTTTTGGGCATTCTATTTTTCGATTCAATTTTTCATTTTCTCAAATTGGGTCTTGCTGGAATCTTGGTATTTTTAGAGGTAGAACTTTCCCCATTTAGCTTAGTTCACATTTTGACTTTTGCTTACAAAATAAGCTTAAATTTTCTCGTGGATTTCACTTTGATTTTGATATGGTATTATGGGTTGTTGTTCACCGATCACCCAAAACCCATTTTTAAGTACCTAAGAAATCAATTTTAAAATAAATAAATATATTTTTAATAGAGGGTATTTTTGTCTCTATATATATGGGACAAGATCGTTTGACATATCATCTGATAGTTATTAGATCAAGAATGATTCATGGTATCATATGCTTACAAATTAAAATCGTTAGATTAAGACAAAATCAATGACTCTCAAATTAGATGTCAAAGGATCATGTCCCTATACATATATAGGGTTTGATGTTTGTCCTTTTAAGTAAAGGAAAGAGATAAAGTGAATTTTTTTTAATTTAAATTTTAAGTAAAAAAATTAATTTTATCTAAAATAACCATTTTTAAAAGTACAATTATTTTTCCCGAGCATGAAGTGGTTTACTGCTTCGTTAGCAGTTTGAGCAGCGAAGATATCATTTTCCATATGCACCTCTATTTCAATCATGGAAGAAACCGTATCGATCAAAGCAAATTAACATGCATTTATAGATGTGAATAGTGAAAAAACAATTACGATAACTATTTTTTAAATACAAAATTCAATTATAACATTATTCTGCATTCATTTTTCAATCGATATGGTATTTCCGTAAATCATCACTTAATTAGATGTTGATAACTTTATAGTTTATCATGTTTTAATGGATTAAAATCATAGTTATAACTTTCATATCTAGCCTAAAGCATGAAAATTTAGAATTATTTGGTTAGAAAGCTTTATCCTTGTTCCTTCGTCATATTAGACTAATCTTTGCTATTTTTGTAGGAGAATTTAGTTAATTGTAGCAAGGATATGCTTCAATGAGACAAGGACAATGGGTAGTCAAGGAAGCATATGAAAATCATGATGATTGAGAGAGTTTTGAACAAGCAAGCATTTTCATGGAAGTATTATTTTCAAAGAAAACCTCCTTATCTTTCAGCAATTTTTTCATATCCAAGATGATAGATTTGGATCTTGCGGTCTTCATCAAGGTTGTAGATCTTTTCCTTAACTTTTTAATGAGACCAAGATCATGTCAATCGAATAAGTACAGCTCAAGTTATGATCGAAAGACAAAAGTTGGCCGTTGTTGGAGCACGCTTAAGCGCTCTGAGCGCACTTAAGCGAGCTAAAACACGAGAGACAGGTCTGCAGCTCCTGCCAGAGCGTGCTCTATCAGGTTCAAAATGCGAAAAGCCCATTTTTACTGATATAAATGATGGGGGAAGCAATTTTAGTTCATTTTGTTTGGGAGGCTGCAACTAGATAGTGTAAGAGACGATTGTGAAGTGCTGGAGATGAAAAAATTCATCATCTTGGAGCTTCAATGGAAGGATTGAAGACACATTTAGGAGTTTCACCATCAACATCTAAAGATGGAGAATTTTTAAAGTGGACCGTGTGCACCTGCATTGGGTGTTCCATTTTCCCAAAAAAGAAATTTTTTATGACATTTTTATCCTTATCATTTTGTTTATTTATTTTCATGTCTTGATTTTTTTTCTATTATTGGGAAAGGTGCACCTGCACCGGGAGCACAAAAAATACGCTCCTAGAGATGGAGTTTTGGGGAATCTTTATTTTTTTGTTTTGCTTTTGATTTGAACATGTCTAGCTAAATCTTTTTGTAGTTAGGGATATGGATCCGATTTTAACTCTTACTTGATTTAAATTGTTTTCAATAAAAATCTTTCTCAATTGTTATATGTTTATCCTGAACCAATTGTTCAATTTCTTGTATGACTTGATCAACCACATAGGAAAAAGAGGGTTGAGTTCTAAATAGAAATACTTAGGATCTTAATCTGGACTAATATAAATATCAATTTGTACATGTTCTAGACATAGACTTGTGAGAGTTGCAAATTTGTGAAATTCATCGTGCATAAAACCTAATTTAAGAGGGGTTTCTAAAAAATTAGGATTATAATTAGGTTAAAGGATTAAATAAATAAGACATTAGAGATTTAACCAATTATCATTTAGATGATGAATCGTTTGGTAACACTAAAGTTGGAATTTTATTAAATTAATTTAATTTACTTAAGGAGGGATCATAGATGAAGTAAATCTTAGATGTATCTTTATTCTTGATTTCAAACCCATCTTTTAATTAATTTATTCTACTGTCATCTTTATTTAATTTTTAATTAAATATGGGTTATTTATTGAAACCTTTTGAATTGTCTAACTTAAATAAAAGTGATGAATTATTACTTGAATTTAATTTTCGTAAGAACGATACTTACTCATTATTTTATTACTTCGAAATGACCGATATAGTTGTGTTGGAAACACTGTTGTAAACCTCGACCCGGTGAATCAATCATCGGACCGATTCGGGTCAAGCATTGGACTGATCATGCATCGATCCGGTCAAATTCGGTCAAAATTCGGACAATACCAGCAAAACCCGGTCAAAACTGGTGACCCGTGACCCGGTCGGGTCATGCATTTAAAAAAAAAAACCAAAAAACTAAAATTGTTTTATTTTATCAGAAAAAATTGTAGAACTCTTTTTAAAAACTTTTTATAATTTTATTTGCTAGTGTATTTTTCTACGATGAACTCAAATTTCAATTTTTAATACTGAAACAATTTGCGGAATAATAAATTAAGAGAATGTGACATATGTCATTTTAATGTAGTTGAATTTGAAAAATATGAGTTCAATGTCGTTGAGAGGTATGTTTATGGAAATTATGAGTTACAATTTAAATTGACGTAATAATAACATGCATTTTTATTTATTTATATTTATATTTTTTATATATATCCGGATTAATTGATCCGACCAATAACTCAATACCTCAATCGGGTCGATACCGGATCGAGTTTAAGAATACTGCTTGGAAACAATCTTTTTTTGCAGATGCAACTCTTGGCCAAATGGCTCCCACTGCACTGCAAGACGCTGTTCATCTTCTCACGAAATTTCAACAAAAATAGATTTAGGATTTAAAAATTGATTGGAAGACAGAAGTGGAGGTGCGGGGAATCGAACCCCGTGCCTCTCGCATGCGAAGCGAGCGCTCTACCATATGAGCTACACCCCCGTGCACGCTAATTTAAGTAAATAATCGTATTATAACTCTAAAGAAAGAACATACAATTATAAATGTGTATTTCTAAAATTTGGACGTTACAGTATTTCTACAGCCATGCGTTAATATGAATAAATGATACTATCTAGACTTGAAAACCTCCTAACTCGTATGATGAGTTTAGAATAAAATCCTTACTATATTTGAAAAATAAAATGTATTAGATAGATAGTACAGATACCAACACTCTTCTCTTCACTGCTTCAAATAAGTGAGTTGGACTTGGATTAACTACCTACGGTAAAGATGACAATTACGAATAGAAAGACAAAGAAGAATAAGAAGGGGTAACATTTGTGGACGCATCCGGTGAATTCCTACATATGGGGCATGTAGCGTTCATCTTGAGCCACTCATCTATGCAGTGTGCATGAAAATAATGGTTGCACGCAGGTATGGTCCTCAACGTCTCCTTGGGCTCGTATTCACACAGGCATATTGGGCACGTGTTCTCATTGGACTTCGGTAAGCGCCCACTCTCACCAATAATAGTCTTGGGAAGTTTTTCAATTTCAGGCCCATTATGAACGAGGGCACGGCAATAATCGAGTTCGAAAGCTCCATGCTGGGCCCGGTCTGGTGGCGATGCGTGTACTTACTGCAGATAAAGCAGGAAATCCCAATTATACCCAAGAGTGCAGGTACTCCCAGTCCTATAGTTAAGCCATATTTGGCACTTCTTGGAAGACCTGTAACTGTAATGAATGTGTCATGTAAATCAGCGCCAGAAATTTATTAGAAAATTTTTTAATACATATTTTTTAATTTTACCTTTCTCATAATTTAAAATATTTTTTTAGTTTATATTTTAAAATTTGAGTACCATCATGTAATACTATCAGGCTATCAGCAATTAATTTAATTGACAGCAACTATTTTTTGGGACTGGATAAGCATCCAACTTGAAGAGTCGTAGTATCACCTTTGAAGCCACAAACTTGGCCACGAGCAGCACAATCCCCGCACGTGGGCTTGTTCCACTTCAACTCAATATCATTGTTAAGATCAGGGGAGAAGAAGGGCGATGTTTCCATGATTGAATTTGGAATGGGAACAAGCGCTGATGACATCACCTCACACTCATGCCACGGTGATGTGTCAATAGGTCTGCTCCACAATGAAAATATCACCGATGAAGAGTTATCGCTGATGCAAGAAATTGATGGCACTGGATATGTCTTTGTTACGTTGTAAGGACAACGAAAGAAAGTGAGGTCATAAAACCCATAAACGCTGGCATCAAACATGAATGGTGGGGACACGGAAAGGCTCAAGTTCTCTAAGAAACGTTTTGGGAGACAACCATCGGGGTCGTTTACCTTAATGGTTTGGTCCTCGTAATTGATGCTTTTCACGACCAAATCCCCTGAATCTGAGAGTTTAAGAATGGTCTGGTTTTGTTTGTCGCATGAAAGTTGGAATCTTGGGTAGCTACATCGACGACCTTTATTGGCTCCTTTCAAACCGAAAGGAAACTGAATATCAATTTCACCGCATGACATGCTATCGCAAATCTGTCCCCCTCTTGTGCTTTGAAGAGAGAATATAATGATCAACAATAAACAGAACTGCGCTAAGGTAGCCATCAATTCAATTTGAGACGAAGTGAAGACTGAAAACTGTAAATAGAATTGGGATGTGATGAGATGAGATGAGGAAGCTAGCACCTCTTCACTGTTGCATCCAATTACAAAGCTACAAGAAATAAATGGAAACCCAAACCAACGCTTTAATTTTCTTTGTCAAACTATAGTTAATAGCTTAGAATAACTGAAACGCCTAATTAATGAACTAATAAGAAAAGACGAAACAACTACAAGGAACATGCTGCTGAACTAAATCTTTTGTCTCCTATCCTATGTAAGTTCCACGCTATATGATTTTGACCATTTTATTTTATTTTTTACTTAAAAAAATCAGTTAAACCAAAGTATAATAATAAAGAATTTGTATAAAAGTATTTTGTTTGTGAACGCAAATCTATACATTAACGTTTCTGCTAGTCTTGTTTTTAAATTTCTTTAGGAAATTTTCAATCTTCCCACGGTAGTCAATCCACATGGAGTATTTCTTTTTTTTATTATTAATTATTATTTTCACTTCAACAATTGTTAGCCTTGCACTACACAAGTCAAAAGCGCGTCCTAATTAATACAAATCATGTATAAAAAAAGAGAGAGGATAAATGTGTGTACAAGCACGTCAACTTAGATATTTGAAGCTGTGAAATTCATATTTTTTTTTTTTTTGTCTTTATTTTTTCCAGTGAAACTCATATCTCTTTAAGTCTATTTTTTTTTTTTCTTAAAATGACCTAAGTTTATATCATTTAAAAGAACATATATTTAAAAAAAAAATACAAATAAATATTGCGTAAGTCTGTTTTCCCATACCCCATCCGACTTCATATGTCACATGAAAACATATTCTTCCCGTGTAGATTATTAATTCATAAACTACTGTACGTGCACCGACTAACTTTTGTATTTTATATAAATTAAAAAAATATTATATTTATAAACTTTTACAAACTCAATTATGTATTTTCGAAAATAGATTCAAGTTAGGAAGGTATTTATGAGAATATATAATATAGTTTGTAAACAAAAAAAAATTATAAATATAACCTAGCCCTATAAATAATATTATATTAAAACAAATATTCGCAAAAATATTCGTTTTACAATTTAGGGCCCAGAGAAACAGAATTAACAATCAAATATTAATAGCTAGAAGGAGCTTGTACTATTAAGATAGCCTCACCTTTTTGTTTAATATAAAACCTGCAAGTTCTTCTAACAATCAAACAGAATTAACAATCCAAGAAGATAGTCATGTTATTTCAACAAAAATTAGTTGGAATCAACCATTGTACTTGTTACTATAAAACCCTCAATCCCCTTAGTTTGGAAGCATTCCTATAAATATGTATATAGCTAGGTCCTATTGGTTAGAAGCTAATTGGTTTTTATGGAGTGACTTAGATTAATTCAAAGTCAGCTCGTCGGTAAATATAAAAAACGAAATCTTATGTTAGGGCAGCGCAGTTGGTATTTGCCAATTGAGGTGGCTATTAATTCCTACGATTCTGACAATTTTCTACTAAAAGCATTCACATTCAATGTTGGTTTTCTAATTAAGCGGGTCGGAGAAACTGAAAGTAAATAAATTAAAATCTTGAATAAACTTGGATTTAGAATCATTAACAATAATTTAATCTGATTTAAATTAATTTGTATTGGCTTGATTTAGAAAAAACTTTTTATTTATTTGAAAAACGGGATTCGAATTCATTTATAAATTAAAATTCATGTTTATAAATGAATTTTTTAATCTGATCAACTAACATAACATTAAACCGAAAGTAAGAATGCAAATAGATTATGATGATGAATGGCACAAGATATCGCTAGCCGAATACAGCAGGGGAAAAAAAAAGTATATTTATGATGGTGATTCATGTGAAGCTGTACGTAGAAGGAGGCAAGGAAGAGGTAACCAAAACAGATCCCTCTGGCTCATTTCGGCATAAGGGGCAGGTAGCATTCATCTTGAGCCAAGCATCTATACAATGGACATGAAAATAGTGATTGCACTGGGGCATGCTCCTTAATGTCTCCATGGGCTGGTACTCACCAAGACATATTGAACATACTTTGTCGATGGATGAGTCGTTAAATTGTCCACTTTCATTTAGTTGGAACTTTGGATATTGTTCTATCCTTGATCCATCAAGCACCACCACTACCCCAGGGGGTTCCCGGATATTTGATTCTATGTTTGTCCATCGTTGCTGGCTATGCCTCCTCCTTCTAAACACAGATAAAACTATCCAATAGAAGAAGAACAGGAATCCAGTTATTCCCCAGACTAGAAAGAAAATGACTCTCCTAGGCCCAGGGCGAGAAATTGGGGGACTTCCACCTACGTACATAGAACTTCAATATCAGTGTTAATTCATTAACAACAAACTAGACAAGACAGCTCAATCACGGGTGTGCGCAGTTCTGTTCTATACGGTTTTTTTTTATCGAACTAAATTAAATTGGACAAAATAATTTAGTATTGAAAACTACATTGATTTATTTTTTAAAATCAAATTTAAATTTTAATAAAAAAATATGAAAATATTGAGAGAGAAAAAAGACAAATAAAATAAAGTAAAACAGCTACAAATATTTAAAAAGAAAAATAAAAGAAAATAAGAGAACAAGAAAAGTGAAAATAAGAACTAAAGAAATGAATTAATAAAAATAAAGTAAAAATAAGACACTAAATAAATGAATAAGAGAATAAACATAGAGAGAGAGAAAAGAAAAAAAGAGAAAAAAAAATCAATTCTGTTCATGAAATGATTGATTTTTCAAAAACCAATTTAGTTCATGAACTGATTTTTAAAAATTAGCTTTTTTTAAATGCAATGCAATTCAGTTCTTTTGATTCTTTTACACATTCTTAAAACTGTTCAAAATCAGTTCTAAACCCAAATAAAAAATATGAAAAGATTGAGAAAAAATAAAAAATATCGATGATACTAAAAATTAAAAAAAAAAAACAATAAACAATCAAAAAGAAAAATAATACAAAGTAAAAATAAATAAACTAAAGAAATGATTACCAAAAAAAAAATTAAACTAAAGAAATAAAGTAATAAAAATAAAAAAAGGAGGCACTTAATAAATAAATAAGTATGAGAAGAAAAATAGAGAGAAATAAAGAGAAATTAGAGAGAAAAAGAGAAGAAGTAAAAAAGAAGAAGAAGAAGTATGTTTTTACTTTTTACAAATCAAAATTGACATTTGTGCTCTTGATAGTGATAACGTATCAAAATCAAATTCATTTGATTTTATCGTGTATCTTGTATCTTTGATTTCAGATTTAATGAAATTTTTTAAGTTTGACAGTTAGAAATATGATAAATCAGTTCAATTTCTTCTGTGTGTGTCAAATTAGAGTTAAGTAATCTAAATTTAAATGCGTATGAACATTACACTAGTGAAATGATATCGACTATTTAATCGCATCTTAATATTAACTTGTTTTTTGTTACTATATTTTATTAGAGAACCCTGTTGAACATTACAATGTTACTTATAGGATGATATTTATCTATAGGAAAAGTATTCGTTTACTTTTTTTTTTATAAATTATACTAAGTATGACCGGTCATATACTCTTGATTGAAGTATGATCGGTCATACTTAGTGTAGTTTGTAAGAGTTTGTAAATAAAAAGTTTGTAAATATAACATTCGCGTTATATATATACATATATTTGTTGGAAAATTATTTTCTCATATTATATAAAAAGAATTATCTCATGTAACAGAGATAATATCATAAGCGGGATCCACAGATAAGAGTAAAGAGGGAAAAAAGAGAGAGGTGAGACCCACCTCTATTTTGTGTGTGTAGAAACTTGTAAAATGAGAGAAAATAGCCCATATTTATATTAAGCCATTCGTTTATTATATATTTCTATATTTTTTGTTTTACCGTTCTTATGCTAAAATTTCATTTTAGATAATAAAGCAAGCAAAACACATTCCGACACACTTCCTCTATCCTTGCTTACTCAAATATATAAAGTGCAATTGTGGTGTAAGTATTTCATTGAAGAAATATCATTTTCCATTACTTAATAATATCTCCTTTGTATGACTATATCATCAGGGACAGGCCATGGGAAAGTACGCACACAGAGAAAGAAGATAGAGGATCTATATCCTCATATTTCACCTTCATGGAAATTAAACATGAAATGAGTGTGTGAGAAAAAAAGAGATAAATCATTTATGATTTATCTCTTTTTTCGTATATGTAATTAATATGTATAATTGAAAATTGAAGAATATACATACCCGGGCTAGTAAAGTTGTAACAAGTAACGGTAAGACCCGTATCCGTTAAAAAGCCACAACGTTGGTCTGCTTCACATTCACACAGAGGTGTATTCCATTGCAACATGATATCAGAGTAAAGTCCCTCCTCGATTATGGATGAATCTTTGGAATGATCTTTAACCGGAACCAATGCAAAGCCAATCTCATTGCACGATGATTTCCACGAATCCAGAGACGAGTTCAACGCATACGTGATCGAATGATTGTTATTGCTTAGGCAGGGTATAGGATATAATATCCCCTCAACTATTAACTTCGCTGCTAATTTCGTGCAGTTGAGAATGGTTAATTTTTCAAAATTATCATAACTGTCCTTGTCCCATCGGAAAGGTGAATCATTGAGGTTCATGTTTTGCATTAACCTTCTAGGGAGACACGCATCGGGGTCGTTAATCCAAATTCTTTGCTTCTCAAGGGATATGTAGTTGACAACGAATTCTCCTATTTCCTGTGAGAGTTTAAGCAATTTCTGCTTCCTATCATTACACAAAACATCAAACCCTGGGTACCCACATCGATTGCTTTGATTATTGCCTTCTATTAATTGGAAAGGGAACTCAATAGGAAGTTCCCGATCAGGGCTTCCGCAATATCTCTTGT